CTGCAGTCAGTGAGACATAGATCTGAGTGTCGTCAGCGTAATTGTGGTAGGACACTTTGTTTCTTTGTATTAACTGACCTAACGGCAGCATGTAGAGATTAAATAGGAGAGGTCCCAGGATCGACCCCTGTGGTACACCACAGGTCAGGGCCACATCATCTGAGACGCAGTCTCCAATCTCCACAGAGTACTTCCTATCCTCCAGGTAAGACCTAAACCAGTCTAGGGCTGTGCCAGTGACACCAACCCAGTCCTCCAGTCTCTGCATGAGGATCTCATGGTCGACAGTGTCGAACGCGGCACTAAGATCTAACATGACCAAAACTGTGACTTTACCTGCATCAGTGTGAAGTCGAATGTCGTTTGTTACCTTCACTAGAGCGGTCTCAGTGCTGTGGTGGGGTCTAAACCCAGACTGGAACATATCAAAAGAATTATTCATTGTTAAAAATTCAGTAAGTTGTTGGGAGGCCACTTTTTCAAGAATTTTTCCAATAAATGGCAGATTCGATATGGGGCGATAATTTTGAAGTCCCGCAGGATCCAGACTGCTCTTTTTTAGGAGAGGTCTTATGACTGCTGTTTTTAGGGCCATAGGAAATGTTCCTGACGACAGAGACATGTTTACTATTTGTGTCAGTGAAGGTAACAAACTGCTCAGGACGGACTTCAGAAATTTAGAGGGCAATATATCCAGGCTACATGTGGAGGAGCTCAGACTCATGATTATCTTTTTGACAGTTTCAGTATCCACAGGTGCAAAGTGAGTTAGCTCAAAAAGCTTCTCTGGCTGTTGCATTGTTATACGTGCTGTGGAGGTGATAGTGTTTTTGATTCCTTGTACTTTGTCATCGAAAAACTGTGCGAACTCATTACACCTAGATTTAGAGGAAAATTCTAGGGGCAACTTTACAGGGGGGTTCGTTAATCTACCAACTGTTGAAAACATAACACGAAAATTGTTACTGCAACCTCCAATAATGTCAGAAAAATACATTTCTCTTGTTCTACGTAGAACCCGGTTAAATTCACCCAACTCATCTTTAAAGATTTCATAATCGCCCTGGAAATTGGACTTTCGCCACTTCCGTTCGGCCCTCCGGCACTCTTGCTTCTGTGCCCTAACCGAGTCTGCCTTAGTCCATGGGGCCTTTTTCTTACTGGTAACTATTTTAACCGTCACAGGAGCAATGGCGTCCAGAACAGTCAGAACACTGGTGGTGACAGAGTTATACAATTCATCAACAACAGTAGAGCATGGAGTTTTCTCAAAATTTAGCATTCCCATGAACAGTTCACTTGTGTTTTCATGTATGTGTCTTCTTCTAACATTTGTAAATTCAGCTGGTGGTTTGCTAGCAAAACACATGTCAAAAAATACACAGAAATGATCTGACAAAGCAACATCAACTACATTAACATTTGATACATTAACCCCCTTTGTAATTAGCAGGTCAAGAGTGTGCCCCCTGCTGTGGGTGGGGCCACTCACGTGCTGAATGAAACCAAAGGTCTCAAATACAGAAGCCAGCTCCTTTGCATTTCTGTCATCAACATTATCAACATGTACATTAAAATCACCTGTAATAACTAAACTATCAAAATCTGTGCACACGAATGAAAGTAGTTCAGTAAAATGGTCAATAAAATCGCAACATGACTGTGGTGGCCTGTACAGGACAATGAAAAGAGTAGAAGATTGCTTTTGTTCCATTTTAAAAGAAATATACTCAAACGATGAAAAATTTCCAAGGGGCATTCTATGGGAGACAAAGTGCTCTCTAAAAACTGCAGCTATGCCTCCCCCCCTTTTGTTTTCTCGTATTTCGGATTCGAATTTAAAATTGGGTGGTGTTGCTTCTATTAGAACTGCATTTCCTGTATTTTGGTCGAGCCATGTTTCAGCCATAAGCATAAAATCAAGATCATAAGAAGTGATAAAATTATTAATTAAAAATGATTTGTTACATAGAGATCTGACATTAAGCATAGCAAGTTTAAAAATAACGTCAGAGTCGATTAATGTGGTTGATTGATTTCTACAGGGAACAGAAATTAGATTTGCAGAGTTGGACCGTCTAACTGCTGTCCTGTTTTGATTTCGTTTTTTAGAATTTAAAAACATTTTTGAGCTGGTGCGAGGAACACACACAGTCTCAATTGGCCTAAAATGTGAAAACCCTTGTTGTTGTTCTTTAGCTCCCAGAGTCAGAAGGGAGTCAGCACAGTTCAGTGTTTGGACTGGTAATGCACTGCCAGACGGACAGGGAGCAGTGTTTGCACCGTTGTACTCACCCGGTGCTGGTGAGCAGGAGGCGGGGGAGTGCGGTGGGGTCCGAGGGGGCTCAGATGTAAACAGTCACGCCCCCCTCGGGGAACGCTGAACAACGTAACGTATGTAATCCATCAACAGGCTGCTACCGTATCTGTTTGGGTGTAATCCGTCTGGACGATAGGCTTCGTAACGTTTCCAGAAAAGGGCAAAGTTATTCACAAAGACAAAGTTAAAAGAGCTGCATGTAGCCTGGATCCACACATGCAGCGCCACAACACGACTGTAGAGGCAGTCACCTCTGTTTACAGTCGGGATTGGACCAGAAATAAAAACAGATAGTCCGGAGGATTGAAGGAGGTGGAACAGATCCATAAAATGTTTCTTCGTGACTTCTGACTGCTGAAGTTTCATGTCGTTAATTCCCACATGCACGACTACCTTGGAAACGGTATCAGGCAGGGACTGAAGCAGAGGAGGGAGACGTATGAGCAGGTCTGGTACAGTAGCTCCGGGAATACAGCGAGTGACCGCGTTAAAGAAGCGGACGTGTCTCACGATGGAGTCTCCAATAATCAGAGTGGTCGGGGCGAAGAGTGGCCTCTGAGAAGGAGCTCGGTGGACGGAACCAGCGGGTTCACCCGAAGCAGGACCCGAGCCTGAGCGCCGCTGAACACATGGAGAGGAGGAGCGGGGGTGCTGACTCTCAGCTACAGGCGACCCACGCTGTGTGCTCGGGGACGCTGGAGCGGTGAGAGGGGCTGGCTCTGGGCGCTGCTGCTGACCCGGTGGAGGTGAGCGGTGGTGATGATGGCTCGCTACCCCAGTCTGAGGCTGCTGCACTGGGGTCAAAGAAGGGGAACAGGCCAACATGGCTGGTGGACCGCTCTTTCGCCTGAGGACTGCTTCCTTTAGGAGCGTTTTCCTCGTAGTGGACTTGGATCCTCGAGCAGTAGAGTACGCTGCAGTGTCCAGGGATTCTGCTGAGGGGGCCGGGATGTCGGTGGAGAGGGCTGCATAGCGGTTTGCCAGACTCAGGACATGGGCCACGGCGCAGGATGGCTCCTCGGAATCCGCGGGCTCGTTATTCGGAAGCGGGCGCTTAGGTGTAGAACAGGAGGGTCCGGAGCTGACGGATCTCTCCCACACGACAGTGTCACAATATGCAGCACTCAGTGACATAAGCCGTGAATGCTGCCCACCAGCGACTTCAAAAAGTTTGGATACTAGAGATTGTTTCTCATTCAACTCTGCGGTGAGACGAAGGACTTCTTTTCGTAGATCTGCAATGGTGGCACGGTCGCTCTCACGGAGCTCCAAGGTGAGGCGACTAATATTGTGCATGTTTGAGCCAATTTCATTGTCACTTTCCATGTCCTCGTTAGCTTGTGTTAGCCTCTGTGCTACTAGTGGGTTTCAGTCGGGACTAAGTGCTATTTGCTGAAACCACTGAATTAAAAAGATAAAACACTCAGATATATTAAAAAACTGAACAATAAAAACGCGCTAAAAAGTTGTTAAAAGTTTACTAAAAAGGTGCACAGAGCAGCCCTGCAGTACTGCTTACTTTGACACACCTGCGTTGATTCTGCTTCCAGTGAGATGCAGCTTTACTTTCACATAATACATTACTACAGTGTTGTCTATAAAGAACTCCAAATATACAAATTGTGAGGAAAGCAGTAATGTATTACTTTAAATAACCTTCATGTAAAGCTTTGTTGTTGTAATGTATATGCATTACATTCATCTAATACATATGCACTGTAACAGATGTTACAGTGCATAATGTTGACACACGTCACACTGCAATCTGCAACATTATGTTTATCACAACAGTTATCAGTGTGCCAACTATAAAAGCAGTATTATTCTATAAAAGACTGGATTGTTTTTATCTCTTTCTTAGTGATGCTATCCTAGCTAACACCAAGCTGCTTCCAGTGTTATAGCTAGGTTACAACTGAGCTATTCTATGCTAATATTTCACTCCCAGAGTTTGTTGTTAATATACTTACGAGTAGACCTGACGGAGATGAATCTGCTGCTGCCATCACCAAGACGATGCGCGTTCATGTGGTGTGACGAGGGGGCGGGGGCGGGGCTACTAACTCGCTCAGGCAGAAGAAACTGCCGGAAACGACCAAATCGCTTACTGCTGCTTTAAATAAATAAATAAAATAAATAAATCTGTAACATCCCAGAATGCATTGCCGGTGAAGGTTGTTTATTATTAACCCATATGATTATTTTAAATCTTTTTTTTTCTGTCACTAAAACTTAATTGAATGTATATCCTATTGTAGCTGCTTATTATAATAGATCCATGGGTCACATGAATTTGAAAATGATTTTTTTTTGTCTGTCTCGCACTCTATCATTAAAAATAGTAAAAATGGCGTCACCTATTGGCTGTTCGCCAGTTCTGCATTTGCAGAATTCTGTGATATGAAAAAGTGTTTGGAAACGGAAGCTTGAAATCATCTGCTTCATTAGATCGAGACATGTTCGACACCAGTTTCGAGCAGATGTTCACATAGTAAACAATCCAAAAGCAATATGTTCCATGGATCTCTCGAGGCTCACTGCGCATGCGCAGTAGAGCCAGCCACAGAGTCCATTTCGCAGAGAACAGCCCAGGCTGCTAGCGGCGTTTCATTGAGTGGGAGATAATTCTTTTACTCTTAGTTTGGCGGTTGCATCGTAGCAGATTGTACGGAGAACAACCATGTCAGAGGCACCTGTAGAAGTTGAGGTCCCAGTGAGTGTGGAGATAAAGAAACTATCTGAGTTGAAAGTCATTGAATTGAAGGCCGAGCTGAAGAAACGAAATCTAGACACGACCGGAGTGAAAAGCCTCCTGTCCGAGCGCCTTAAAAAGGTAATAACCCCTTCTATGGACTACAGGGGTGATACTTGTGCACGTTATAGCACATAATCAAGCCCTTTGGAAAAATATGAACAGAAAGAGTAAACATTAGCATGGAGGAGTGTAGCGCTGTTAGCTTAGCCTTAGCAGGGTTAGCCATATTTGCATATACAGCTTTATATTTACGTGTACTTTATTTTTTTTCCAAATGTCGTATTCATAGACCTGTCATCTTGATTCATTTGGATCGCTGGCTATGTTTTGGCAGGCAATAGAAGGAGAAGGGGGCAATCCGGATGAAATCGTCGTCTCGATGGATGTAACACCGAAGAAGGCGCCTCCTAAACGGGCCGTGAGAGGTACTGCAGCCTGCAACACTCACTGATACTTGTCACCGCAAATCTGACACATGATTCACTTATATTTCACGTCTATTTCAGATTCAAAGCAAGAGACTGAACCTGAAGATGGCAATGTCGACGAGGACTCCCGAGACACCTCTGTACGTATTTATGCCTTTGACCTATCGGAGATGCCCATTTGAAATTACGTCAAGGGTTAATTTCATGAAGTTCTAGGCAGTGAATATTTTAGAAAATACTTATAAAGCAAAGGACATTCGGCATGTGATTTACTAGAAACTACTTAATTGTTTTACTCAAGTACGTTTTTAGACTTAACACATCTTTTTGACCAAAGCTTAAGTAATGCCAGTTTTTTACGATAGTTCAAAGTGCTTGCTCTAACAATTAGCACTCATAGATGCAAAATATAAACTAATAAAATGGAATAACCGTGCAGTATAAAAGTACAGTGAATACAAACTACAGAAATAAAATCAATCATGCAAGACGAAAGGGACCTAGTTGAAACTATTTTATTATTCTTCACTAAATACAGCTGTAAAATATAGAGGAAATTATCTACAGACTACAAACGAGTCGATTTTTATATACCTTAACTACCGAATAATAAACTTCCATACAAATGTTGAGACTAAACTATCAGTCATATGAAATGTTTTTATTACCTGAAAGATCTCTGTAAATATTGAACATTGTTGGATGGTTCTACCAGCAGGATCTTCATAAAGATGGCCTGCATGAAATGGACATCCTTGACATGAATGTGTTGGATGAGACCGAAGACTACATGAAAGGAAGTGCCGAGTTTGATGCTGTGGATGACGCCCTTTTGAGTTCAGATGCTGGAGATGGGTGTGACGAGGTGGGTTGACATTTATCTCAAATCTGCCATCTATCTTTGAGTTGTGCTCTGAAATTGTTTGTGTAGTTTCAGGAGGACAAAGATGAAGATATGAGTTCGTCTACATTCCACACGGTAGGTTTGAGACTAACAAATTTTAAAACATGTTGCCTTGTGTAGTTTAATGAACCTTTCCAATTTTGATTTTAGATGGATGATCCAGATGTTAGTGATGTAAACAACGGTACAGGTAATGGAACATGTAGGATTCCTTTATTGAATGTAGCACTTTTGAGGGAATGCTTTTCGTTTTAGTTTATACAGATGAGAGACTGGAAACTTCATATAATTGTTGCCTGTGTGCACAAGCCCGTTTTCAGAATGTTTGTCAATCTGAACTTTTTATGGTATTCAGTTTGTGTGAACTGATTGATGCACAATGTCAGCAATTGTATGGGGCAAGTGGGGAAGTTTAATGTTCTCACAACGGGAAAGAAGATTTGAAGACTCATCAGCTGTTTATACACTGACTGAAAGCTGCGCAGAAGCTGGACTCAAGCCTAAGTATGGACAATGTTACGGACACTGAAAAATGCCTGAAGACAGAAGATTTTCTTGTTGCTTGCTTCAAAGTTGAACTCTTTGCCTGGTTTGATGCCGGTCATGTTGTAACCTTCTGCTTGGACAATGAGCCACAATTGTGTGAAGACCAGTAGTTGAGTTATTCACTTGTTCCAGTCTCTCATTAGGCTTTACTGTGATTACATTAAGCACTAAGAGTTCAGGATAGTGGTCATGAGGCTCCTAATCCAGGCCTTGCCAGTTCCTCGTTAGACATTGCTGTGTTACAGAAGTGATTAAACTTTGTGCCATTCTGTTCCTGTTAACTCCGTAGAAAATGACAAAGTAGCGGGGTCTTGTTTATCTGAGCCGATTAAAGAAGATGACGAGCCGAGCCAAGAGATGTGCCCTGAAGAAGAGCTAGCTGCCACCACCACCACCATCGGGGAAGAAGGCGTCTCCGATTCCTGCTCCAGAGGTGGACCAGCTGGACATGTGGGAAGCGACATGGAGGCGGAAGAAGAACCTGGGGACAATGTCAATGTATCTGAAGAAACTGAGTCAGAGGACAAAGTCTTGCACGATGGTAGTGTTAATGAGCAGGGGGGCGAGGGAGAAACCGTTGATTTAGAAGGGGTTTCTAAGGAGGGTGAGAAGGATGAGAAGACGGAGGACAAAACTTCAGCGGATTCTGCCTCGACACCCAAAGAGTCCACTGTAGAGGGTGATCAGTCCAAAAGGTTTGTCGCTTTCTGTCTACTTGAAACCAAAATGGTTATCTCTGTTGCATTGGCCCCTTTGTCATATAAAATTGGATGCTCTTTTCAAGGTAACTCTTGGCATTTGTCTGTCTGCCAATGTTTTTTTAAGTAAATGCGGAAAAATAGGATAGTGACTCAAATTTGGCATTCTCATATGTCACTGTCGGGCTTTTCTGTACCAAAAGCAAAGAATTAGACTTCCAACACGCCTTGTTCTTGTTGCTGAGACATTCTCTTTGTTTTTGCTTCCTTTAGTTCCGATGAAAAAGATGCAAATGCACCATCTAAAGATGATAAGGGTAAGTGGATGAGCACCAATCAACTATTTTCTTTGTCTGTGTCCTAAGTCAAGTTTAATTTCTAGATGGTTCAGCCAGCAGTAGAAATCTGTGGGTCAGTGGTCTTGCCTCAAGTACCAGAGCGACTGATTTGAAAACATTGTTCAGCAAATATGGAAAGGCAAGTTAAGCATTGACAAAACCTTAAGCTCTAGTTTGTGTTCAAAATAACTGAACACTAGTCGTATCTTTTCTGTAGGTTGTCGGAGCAAAAGTAGTCACTAACGCTAAAAGCCCTGGGGCTCGCTGCTATGGCTTTGTCACAATGTCCACCACAGAAGAAGCTACAAACTGCATCAGCCATCTCCATCGAACTGAACTTCACGGCCGCATGATCTCTGTTGAACGAGTATGTGTCACGCTGCAGCTTCTGTAACTACACATTTTTTCACAAATACCAAATGCATTTCCTGCCTGAATTCTTCTTTAGGCGAAGAGTGAACCTGCAGGCAAAAAGGCAACAGACAAGAATGATGGAAAGGCCAGGAGATCCTCCACGGACTCAAAGTAATTCTATAGTTGCATTTTCTTTAGGCCAGAAACAGCTCTTTGCAGCTAATATCAAATTTTTTCCACAAAACTTGGGCTAATTTACTCGATTTTACTGTTCTAGGTCTGAGAAAGATGTTGATGGAAAAGGTGAGAATTGGAACTATTTAATCTTAAGAATCCCAATAACACAATTTAAAATGTTTTAAATAGAGCGGACTGTAGTAATGGATTCATCAAAGGGTGAGCCTGTGGTCAGTGTAAAATCCAAAAGCAAAGACCGAGTAAGTGATGCATATTGCATTGGTCTTTATTTTGTAAATATTCTTGAAACATGGCCTTTGACTTTGCTCAGAGCACAAAGAGCCGTGAACGCAGTACATCCAGCAAAGAAAAGAAAGATATTCTGTCGTTTGACCAGATAATGGAGCACAGGGAGCGTGAGAGGCAGCGTCAGCGGGAGAGGGAGGTCCGCGAGGTGGAGCGCCGGAGATACACGTAAGCTTGGCTTTGTCTCTGTTGAAAGCTTTCACGTTTAGTTTTTAAATTGAGTTTATGCATTTTAGCTTTAATGATCGAGAGCGCGATGGCAGACCAGACCGCGAGCGCGACAGGGGCCGCATGTTCCGCGAGCGAGACGACAGGACCAGTCTGATGCGGAAGAGACACATGCTAGAGGTAAGAGTCTCACTTCTGTTGTAAAACCCATGAGGTGTTCATAGAACATGTGATCAGGTTGAGAGGCAACGTCTTGACGCTGACCGCATGGAGGCCCAGCTGCTGGAGCGTGAGATGATGCGTATAGAGCACGAGCGGCGGCGGGAGCAGGAGAGGATCCTGAGGGAGCGGGAGGAGCTGCGCAGGCAACAGGAGCTGCTGCGCTTTGAGCAGGACCGCCGGCCTTTGAAGAGGAACTACGATATCGACCATCGGTAATTCATCTACTGAGTGCAGTGCTCCCTCACTAAAACTTAGTTCACGCAGATTTTTTTGTGTGCAGTTGTACGAGCATTTTAATTATTGCAGGTTCTTTGTATTCATGTTTCCTGCTTGTTATTTTGTGTTGCCATATCAGAAAGGACGACTGGGCAGAGAAGCGCATGGCTTTAGACGATCGCTTTGGTCGACAGGACCGTTTCCATGACTTTGACCAAAGGGATCGCAGCCGTTACCAAGACGACTCATCCGACCGGCGTGACCGGGATAGAGATGGACCGGTAACTATACACTTTGATTCAAATTAAAATATTTTGTGAAGATTTATTTACTTTTTAAAACTTCTTTTGTAGAGTTTCTCTGACCGTCATGGACGAGATAGTAGAGACTCTTGGAGTGCACGTGGGAGCTCGAGGTAAAATAACAATTATTTAATAATAAAGAGAATGATTGTGCATATTGATTATCCTTTTTTTTTACCCCTTAGGGATAGTGGAAGGGACTGGGACTCTAGGAAAATGGATGACCGATGGCAAAGTAATATTAACATAGAAGTTGAAGACTATCATTTGTGTTGCAGTATGTAACATTTTTATTCTCAGGTCGCGACGGTGCAGTTCCAGGCCAGAGTCACGTGGGAAGAGGAGGAAGGTAGTGCATTGTGAGAAGTGCGTAGCTCATTATTGTTTCTGGGCAAATCCATGTTAATATTGTTATATTTTGTGTCTTTCAGAGGCTACTCGGGGTCATCCCAGTCTCTGTCAAACGCTCTGAACAGACAGAACCAGATCATGCAGGGAGGAGGAGCCTTTGGCCGCCGCTACTGACCTCGGTCAAGCCAGAGGCCCTGGATTTTGTACATTTTTGTTTTTATGAGAAATACAATTCCTGTTTGTTATTTTTCGTTTTCTGCTGAATGATATCTAATTGGTATTAACTCAAACGCTGCACCTGTCCTTTCATTCGCCGCAGGTTAATTGAAGTCCCATTATTTTCATGTGATTGTCTTAGAATACAGATCTCACTCAGACGAGCCTGGGCCACACTTGCTTTTGTCATAAGCTGATGATGCTTGTTGATCTCACATGGAGTTTGCAAGGTTTTTAAATGTTTCTTCATTTATTGAACGTAAAAATAGTACATTAAACTGTAAAACAATAACTATTTGCTGGTTTAATGCGTTTGTCAAAGTTATTTCAATTTTAGACGGGGACTTTCTATTATTAAATCTGGATCACCCAACTTTACATAAATAATACAATTTGGTTGTTCCTATACAATCAGGGTGTCTAAACTAAGGCCTACGGGGCAATTGCAGCCTTCTGCCGTCATATTTGGCCCAATTGACATGTCACATCATCCAGGAAACTTCAGCCCTGCCATCGTAGAATGAAACTGCATATCTGGATTCTAGTAGTTGACTTAGTTTGACTGATATTTATTTGAATGTATTGCACTAATTTAACTTGACTAAGTATTTTTTTATTTATATACCGCCTTTCACAGACCAGAGTCACAAAGCGGTTTACAATTGTTATTTTTGGGCATTTGTCCTCTCACTCCACCCAGAGATGGGAGTGGGGTCACCAGTGCAGGAGGGTAGTGGTAGGAGAAACTGGAGCACCCAGAGGAAACCTACAGACACGGGGAGAACATGCAAACTCCTCTCAGACAGACCCTGTTTCGACTGGTATTCGAACCCAGGACCTTCTTGCTGAGAAGCGAGAGTGCTATCCACCCAGCCACCGTGCCGCCAACATTCAGCCAACTTCCCCTGTGTCAAATGTGAACTAGTATAGTCATTTCACCTCATTGAACAAATCAGAACGCAACTTGCTGTCTGCTCAGTTTCAAAGCGTTTTCTAAAGAATTCTTAAAAGACCCATGGGATTCACTATTCCATACTTAGGAGAAGGGATTGGCTGAGTGCAAAAACTGCTATACGGTTATGATCGATTTTGGTACTCCGATAAATTGTGGTTAGACGTTGGGTACATAGACTGTAAACATTGGGTACCTCAGCTTTAGTTGTTGTGTTGAGATTGACCAGTAGAGGGTGCCATATATTTTCACAATGATTTCCAATTCCACACATGGCAGAGTCGTTGGTTCAATGGGGATATTTAAAGAGAATGATGCCCACAGCTCTTAGTTTATAAACGAATATATTTGATGCAGACGGTGCACTTGTGTTACCTTTTCTTCAAATTTCCTGCTTTGGTTTAGGGCTTGAACTATCATTGTTGTTTGATATGTGGATATAAGAGCAAGTGCATTAGGCCTTCAGTCCATTCATAATAAATCCATGCTTTTATAGTCCTGCATCTGGTCAGGAAACTAAGGCATTACAATAAAGTGTCCATGTGGAATGCACTCACTATGCCTCTGGGTCTGGTGTCGTCTCATGCTGGGAAACATTGTTTACCCAGATTCTTGGCCTTTGAAAATTGAAATGTTTATTGTTTTAAGCTTTCCCTTTAAGAGTGAACCAGATAAACTTTTAACTTCTGCTTGAACTTTGTCAGTTGCAGGATCTATTGTTGTGTTGCTATTTAGAAAAAAAAGAAAAGACAGTTCCAATAAAACACCTTACATTACAAGCTGAGCAGTGAACTTAACATGATGACAGATGCAGGAGCGCTGCCGCAGGAGGGGCAGACCCTGGGTCATATATCTGCAGCCAGTGTTTGTATTTGATTGTACTTTAGCGTGTCAGATGGAAGACCACCACATATGGTTTCACTGGGAACTTATTTATAATGAGCCGGAGAAGCCAAAGCACCTGAAAAAACATGCCCCGCTCTAACATATGTAGATGTAAGAATGAAAACTGCCACATCATACGATCGTTTACAGCACTTCCTTCATGAGCTAAAACATCCCATTTTGAAGGCTTAAACAAAAAATATTAGACACATTATGGGAAATTTCTATGATTGTTTTTAACATGTTATAGCATTATTATTCATGAAAAAGGGAGACATGTAGTAATTTTTAGATCTGGTTTTCTGGAACAAACATGTCACTCTGCCTCTTCAGTCTAAAAGCTACTGTCTCACCCTTTTAATAGTATGATAACATTGTACCACTATTAGCCACTTATCTGCATCGCCCATACATTTGTTTTAGCAATTTCTCAAGTTAAATTATGATTTTTACAATTGCCTGTCTGTGTTTGCAGCCTGTAATTTTCAAATTTGGAAACAAACAAACAAAATTCAAAACAGGGAGATGGCCTGTCTTACCCTTCATATTTGTTTCACCATGTATTTTCAATAAAGTTGAGGAAATGGTCTGATTATAATCTTTTCTTCTTTTTTCTTCTTCTTTAAGGTTGATGAAAAGTAGAGATAATTCACTTCTCTTTGTTGGCTCAAATGTGACAATGCAGTCTTGCACAAGTTTGCAAAAACTAGTTTGTGAACCCTCTTGAGATGTCACTCAGTTAAGACAGGTCTAACAAGATTGTGGAGCTACAAGTTAGTCAACAAGAGACAAACAATAAAAGGAAACACAAACACCCATGCAGAGTGTCTGATCAACCCCATAAATCTGGCCTGTTTTATCCTTTTAAGTGGTCCATGGGTCAGCAGGGGGGGTGGGCACAACCCAGGGGATAGCTAGACTACTTTTGTTTTTGAGAGAATCAGCTTTGTGATGACATGTACAAGCCTGGGAAAAGGAGTGGTAGCACATGCGTAGTTCACTGTCAAAGCTCTTGAAGATTTAAACAGCATTATACATGAAGAATGCATACAGTATATAATGTATGATTTAGGAGGTCTCCCCACATATGGGTTTTTACACATGCTCGTCACGCTGATGTTCCCATGCTTCTATGACGTGCTACAGTGTTAGGCTTTTGGCTCTGCTGCTGGAGAGGTCATCAACTTTGCAGCCTATATTATAAGTGCACTGTATGGAGGCTGTGGAGAAAACAAGTTGGAAGGTTAAAAAAAAATCTGCATATAGCTTTGATACTTGTGGTGATATGGAGTGATCTAAACCACCACCATCTATGTAGATTTAAAAATAGAAAAATATTGTGCAGTGCTTACCGGAGTTCTTATAAAAGTTCCCTAAATATCACATATCTTTGAATCCGATCAATTGCTGTGTAGTTTGAAAACAGTTATGTTTACAACCCTTTTTCTGTTGCAAAATATACTATTGATACAACAAGAAAATTTGTTCCCCGAGCTTTAAGCACTACACAATCTACTCAGACACAGTAACTATGCATGCCATCAACTGCAGCAGGTCCTCATGAGCGGCTGGAAGAGTGTGTTATTGATTTTTAGAATTCAACTCATTTACGTTACAGTGTCCGCTTCATCTAAGCTGATTTTAAATCTGCGTTTGTGAACAAATAAGATATTGTGTATTTGTTTTTTTGCAGTTTTGAACACAGTGGGGACATTTCAGTGCTGCATCACCAATTACAGAACAGTAAGAATGAGTGGCACACAGCACAAGATAAATGAACAATAACTCTATTCAAAATAAACTAAAATAAAAATATTTCAAGTGTAAAATCTATTATGAATCTTAAAACCCAACTATATATTCACTTTGACACTTACAGGCACAAATCACTGCTTCCTCTTTCAATGAACTCGCATCGCTGCACCGGGTCAGCGCCTCTTTGTCCAAATGCATCACTTTGAATAGAGCAATAAAATACCCTGCTCTTGCACACTTCTGTTCCACTTGGCTTTTTATAATCGTTTCTACTTTTCTAAAGCACTTGTAAACCTGTGACCCCACCGTGAGGCCTTTTCCTCACCGTCCATGCAGCAAATAATCTTTAATTGATTATATCCCTAAATAGAACTTCAATATTGGGCTGAACCAACTGGTGTTTTCCCTTTGGAACTTGAGAAAAGAATGACTGAGCTTTTTGCATTTTCTCCCAAGGTCTAGTAGTCCTAATTTCCTGAAGGACTTTATTTGTTTTGTCTGCTGGTTTTGGGAGACAATTGCACGCGAGATAAAAAACAGTGTGATATGATTCCGAAAGGAGAAATGCCCCACAGAGATGGCCTTGCAAAGACAACGCATGTTCTATTGATACTATAAACATTAGATTAGATTCTTCAAAGAGGATATTGGAGTGATTAGTGGCCCCACCTTTTATAAATGCTTTCGCAATTTTAAGGCAAGTACGTGTGTTTTAACATACTTTGTACAGTATGTGACCCAGATAAAATGCATTCTTGTATATGTCAGACATGAAAAGAACAAAGCCATATGTTGTGTGTGTTTGCCTTGAGTGCAGGACACAACTTTCAGACAGAAAAACTTGTGGCTGTTCTCAATTTGATAGGCTGGATTTACAATAATGCTGCATGCTTTGGCCGGTATAATCTCACAAGTACAAGAATGTGCAACAAATGTGTGGCTTTTTTGACAGAATCAAAAACAATGAAGCCAATACAAGAAGGATTTTGTATTTCCTTTTCAGGTCTTGTAGCAAGTAGAGAAGGACAAGAGCTCGAGATTGTGCATGGCTGGATCTGTTGACAGAGCTTGGGTGTGTCTAAATAGTGGGTTTTGTGGTTTACAGTAGTGTCCCCTGAGAGCAGGCAGAAGATGAGAGATTCACTGCAAAAATATGCCAAAAAAAGAGGCTGGCTTTACATTGTTGTATGACAATTGGGATTGCACCATAAGATTATACACACACGTTTTACACAGGCAAAAACTCCTCTAAGATGTGTAAAATTAACAGAAATTGCAGGAATAAATGTGTGGTCTAAGAAGCACAATGTCAGCGGTCATTCATCTCAAACAGCTTTACAAACAAATTCTTTTATAATTATCTCTT